TAGCTTTTGTCAGATACTGGAGAAAACAATGGGAGTACAATGAGACAGTACATCAGCTATCCACATAGCTTTTGTCAGATACTGGAGAAAACAATGAGAGTACAATGAGACAGTACATCAGCTATTTACAGACTTCAAGAAAGCCTATGATTCAGTTATGAGGGAAGTATTGTACAATATTTTGATAAGAGTTTGGGATACCCATGAAACTAGTTAGGCTGATTAAAACGGGTTTAAACAAAACATACAGTAAAGTCCATATAGGTAAACAGTTGTCTGACAAATTTTGAATCCAGAATGATCTAAGACAAGGAGATACTTTATTGCCGCTCCTTTTCAACTTTGCTCTAGAATACGCCATTAGGAAGGTCCAGGAAAACCAGGTGGGAGTGAAATTAAATGGGACACATCAGCTGTTCGTCTATGCTGATGATGTGAATCTACTAGGTGATAATATAGATACCATACAGAAAAAAACACAAACTTTAATTGACACAAGTAAGAAGGTTGGTCTAGAAGTAAACATAGAGAAAACTAAGTATATGTTGCTGTCCCATCACCAAAATGCAAGGCAAAATCATGACATTGGGATAGGAAACAGATGTTTTGCAAATGTGGCACAGTTCAGATATTTGGGAACAATGATAGCAAATCAAAACCTGATTCAGGAGGAAATTAAGAGGAGACTGAACTCAGGTAATGCTTGCTACCGTTCAGTCCGGAACCTTTTGTCTTCTTGTCTGCTGTTCAAAAACATAAAAATTAGAATATACAAAACTATAATTTTTCCTGTGGTTCTCTATGGGTGTCAAACTTGGTCTCTTGACATTAAGAGAGGAACATAGACTGAGGCTGTTTGAGAACAGGGTGTTGAGGAAAATACTTGGACAGAAGAAGGCTGAGGGATAGTAGGTTGGAGAAAACTGCATAATGAGGAGTTTCATAACTTGTACGCTTCTCCAAGTATAATTAGAATGATCAAGTCAAGGAGAATGAGGTGGGCAAGACATGTACCACGAATGGGGGAGAAGAGGAAAATACATAGAGGATATTGGTGTGAAAGCCAGAAGGAAAGAGACCACTGGGAAGACCAAGGCATAGGTGGATGGACAATATTAAAATGGATCTTAGAGGGATAGGATGGGATATGGATTGGATTTATCTGGCTCAGGATAGGGACCAGTGGAGGGCTCTTGTGAACATGGTAATAAACCTTAGGGTTCCATAAAATGCTGGGAAATTCTTGAATTGCTTCTCCTCAAGAAGGGCTCAACTCTATAAGCAAGCAAGTAAGTAAGTACTGCACCAGTGGTGTTGATGGTCTATGAATAACACACTGGCCCGGTGTGAAGAAGTTCTGAGGTTCGGAACCAACCAAAGTTTGGGCTATGCCATAGCTCAAGCAGTTAGTCGCTGGCTTCCCATCGAGGCAGCCCGGGTTCGATCCCAGGTCTGGTCAAGTGGGATTTGTGGTGGACAAAGTGGTGCTGGTGCAGGTTTTCTCTGAGTACTTCGGTTTCCCCTGTCAATCTTCGTTCCACCAACTGCTCCACAATCACCCTCACCTGTCATCTTGGGCTGGTACAATAGGCCAGAAATGGCCGCAGTACAAGGGACACAGTCCCACCCCACTTCAGAAACAGCACCACCATCACCACAGCTCTCCATATAATGTACCATTATAATGATCCCATTAAAATCCGTGGAAGCTTTCTTCCCCACAAAGTTTCCTGAGCATTTAGCTGGACATCACATTATGTTGTGAAGACAAAGTGAAGTGAAACCTGAAAACGAATTTCAAGGGGAAACAAAAGCAATACACCTTGTCTAAAGATGGTGTCAAATCCTATAATAACACAACACAGAAACGTTAAATTATTGCTTGAACAAAAGTTTCTAGCCTAGTATCTCTCATGAGGGACTTTCAACTCCATCTGAATAAACAAGGTAAAGAAGTATACTGCTATATCTCTCTATTGTTAAATATACTCTGTAAATGACAAAACTGGAGACATTAGCAGCAACACGAGGAAGGTAATGACATGACTGAAATGCTTCAGGAGTCACCTGTACATCTGTATTTTATTAGGCTAGACCCACAGAAAGAAGATCTCAAACAATTTCCAGTTCTAAAACCAATCTAACAAAATAATTATAAATACAGTCTTTTCAAAATAATGTGACTGTTGAAAAATAAACATTTCAAATATTACATAAAAAGTAGCAATAAAATATAATTACAAAACAATTCAGATACGTTATTGAAGTGGGGTTCCCAAATTTCTATCTTGAAAGGCCACTTTCAAACCACTGATATGCTTCATCAGCCATACACTTAGAAAAGAACTGTCTCATACACATGAAATATAAAACTACAAACTATAATTCCATGCTTGCAACAGGCCAAAAAGTTTATGTATAATATTAAAATTTTGTATTATGCAATTATATTTTTCATCCTGCATTAAAAAGTAAATGCTGCAATGCATAACAACCAGCTCTGTTATAGGATCCTTATTTCAACTTACCAGATAAAAAATGCAATGAACCCCCCAAAAAACATTAATGAAAATCATAATGTGATGGCCAATTTATTTATTGTTTCTTTAAAAATGCTGTCTGTAGCTTAAGACTGTATAGGACTGAATAATATAATATTCAGCAAACAATGAATTGGAAAAGTTGTGGAATGAAGCAGGCATGGGCTAATTTCAGGTAATATCTCAACATATGCCTGAAAGAATTGCAAAAACCACAAAAACCTTATTCAGGTTAACTGGTCTCCAGGAGAGACCTGAGCCTGGATCCTTTCAAATAAGAAGTAAGACTTGATCACAATGTTTGTTACTGGTAATGGTAAGTGTCCAATAAAGTTCCCTTTATAGAAGTGACAAAAGAAAAAAAAATCCTTACTAAAAAAATGTATGCAGTACTACATCATATGCTAGAATTTTATATAAACCACTGCTGACAACAAGATTTGACAACTTTAGAAGTGCTGGCATCAGTGACAGTCTATCTTTACAGTTTCTTTAATTAAAATGGCATATCACTCAAATAAATCTATTGCTATGGGACACACATTAATTTCTGGGACACACGCAGATATTCCTGTGCTAGAAGAGTATATTAAATGCAGAGAATCCAGGGGGCAATTTACAATCGCCATATCCCTTGTTACAGGACAATGCCTTTTACATAAATTACTTAATAAGGCTGAAATTTATAAATCATCTGATGCAGTGTGTCTCATTCGCTCATTCTCCACCTCCTGCAACAGATATAAACATATCACCTTACTAAATGTACAAACATGACACCACATATAATACCATCACATGTTACTAACTAGACACAGGGTTTGGACTGAAAATTGGTTTTATTTGACTCTTATAAATCATAACTACAAGTAGCGGTGACCTTAAGCTTTAACCTGACACCTGCCCGATCTCACCAAGTCAATTAGTCATCGAGTACATGCGGTAAAGTAAACTGTCTCTTCTGCCTTTTGCGATTTGTGCAAGTTGAAACATGAAGGACGTTGAAGAGCAACGTGTTTGCATGAAATTCTGTTCCAAATAGGCAAAAACTTTTACAAAGATCAAGCAAGCTTATGGAGAGGATTGTTTAAGCTATACACAATGTTACAAATGATACCAACTTTTCAAATCAGGCAGATCGTCCACCAAAGACAATCCCAAACCTGAACCACCTTCCACATCAATGGACGATGATCATGTAGAGAAAGTGCATGCTGTGATTCGTGAAAATCGCCGCCTAACTGTCCTTAAAGTTTCTGAAGAAGTAGGCATCAGTAAAAGTTCATGCCACACAATTTTGACTGAAAAACTGAAGATGCATCGTGTTGCTGCAAAATCTGTGCACTAATCTAAGCTACAATAGATCCTTGTTATATAGGATCCTCATGGACCACAAAGAAAACACAAGTCACATGATTGCTATCTTGCCAGTACATTGGTGCGCTGGCTACTGTCTAGCAACGAGCTATAACATTCGTCCACTGAGACAGAGTTTCCACTGTTGCATGTTGGAACATTTACCAAGCCACTGACAAGCGATGCTTTGAGCAAATCCATTACAACATAAAAGTTTGTGACTAAGGTATATTAATAAAATTATTGAGTTTTTAGACATTATCCATCATCCTGTTTATTTAAAACACAATGTTTTGGAGACTGGATTCTATCTCTGTCTTCAGGTAAAACCTACTCAGCCAGGCCCAATCGACAGAGCTAGTCCCCATCTCTGGACACCAGCACCAGCATATGATAGGATGAATAATCCAGGCAGAACATTAGCCATCAGCTGGAGTTAAATCAAACATGGAAAACATTAAATTAACTCCACACATGAGGCCTAGCAACTGTTCCCATGTAACATTTAATGGTCAGTGTCTATAAAATCAGTGTGCTTTCAGAATATCTCACTGAGAGTATCAAGAACTTATTGCTAAAGCAAATGAAAGGGTTAGAAGTATGCCAGAATGCCAGAATGGTAGATATTCTTGGTTACTTGATTTTTTAATAAAATGATGGTTACATTCTATACTGAAATACATAGTTAATTTGTCACATTATAGTCTACTTGAGCTTTCGGTATCTGCCTGCCTAGACAATGGCAAAGGAATAAATTAATGAAATATCCTTCTTCAAACTAGAGGTCTGGAAGCCAGACATTCGTAAATAGTAGGTCATTAAGTGTATACACTGTAAGAAGCACAGAACACTGATCATTTAATACTTCTGCACCTTGCTTTTGCTGTCAATAATGGTGACAAAGTCTGAAGACAAAGGTGAAAGGTTTGGAGTCATAGCATAAACAATATAAATGTTGAGGTCACTGATTTTTTTCAGTCGATCTAATCCTTCCTGCTGCAGCTATGGCCCTAGGGTTGACTCAGTCTCTGAAAAAATGAGTACCNTGATAATGTCCTGAGGAAAGCCATAACGCGCATGCGAATTTGGTAGGATTCCTGGATCTTCACCAAGAATCCGAAACTCCACTGTTGGAATCTCTTCATTTAAGTTCCTTTCCTTTGCACATAAATCTCCCCAAGTGAAGAGCAGTGGCAATGTTCTTTTTGGGTCAAATGGACTAAAATCTATTATCTGTATTTTATTGCTTGAATGTCTCACAATATCAAAAGTGTCTGAAAAACAGTTATGAATAAATGACATATTTACATATACAAGAGCAATTTTTTTTACAAAAAGAGCCCTCCAATAATGATATTATTAATATTCCCAACATCAGGTTTTCATTAAAAAAAATCGCCCTGTATTAGCTACAACATACTTCGAATACAATTTTCAAAAGTTTTTTTACTGCTAGTGGGGTGGGACTAAGTCCCTTGTACTGAAGCCATTTCTGGCCTATTGTACCAGCCCCAGATGATAGGTGAGGGTGATTGTGGAGCAACTGGTGGAATGAAGATTGGCAGGAGAAACCGAAGTACTCAGAGAAAACCTGCCCCAGTGCCACTTTGTCCACCACAAATTCCACTTCACCAGACCCGGGATTGAACCCGGGAAGCCAGCAACTAACCATCTGAGCTATGGCGCAGCCCATTTTCAAAAGTTACTAAGATTCATACTACAACTTTAAAATGGCACTAAGATACAACTGATAACTAATTCCACAGAGCAGACTGAGAAGCTAACAGTAGTTCAGCTACTCAAAAAACTGCCCACCTTTTATGGAATTTAAAGATTGATTACCGATTCACAAAGACAAACTAATATACTGGTTTAATTGACTAAAATGCAATGATAATTTGTGACTAAACAAACTGAATCTGAACTTGAAAACTAAAGTAAATTAACATAAATTCTAGTGATGGCATTTCCTCCATATTAGATGATATGTTTGTTTTCACCATGATCTAGTTTCCAGAGCCCTGCTGGTGAACAAAGAGTAATGGATACTCAGCAAACAGCCAATATTCTTACCAACTGTTTTTTATTTATTTAACACTGCACTATCAACTGCAAAGGTAATGGCAGAAGTAAGAGTCCACAAGACTGGATAATTTATTCTTAACACTGGGTGATCCACACAACTGCGGCAGTCTTCAACAAAATAAATTTAATAATCTTCTCATGTTACTACAGAGAGGCAAGTATGAAACTTCATAAGGTATTCATACTATGTCCTTCATAATATGAAAAATACAGTTAACTTAGAACTTGAAAGAATGCTGTACACTTAGAACAGCAAAACTGATTTAAGGGGCACAAACAATATCACGCTTATGTGACGTCTTAACATATCACAACTCAAGACACAGCCTTCAGATAAGCAGAGAACTTGATTAAACTGATTTAAATTGATTATTACTTACAATTAGGTATAGGGAAATTTCCTTTTATTTTCTCTTTGAAAAACGTTGTAATTTCTTCCATAATCTGGTATTTTCTTTGAGTTAAATGTCCATAATACACTTTGTAGTCACGCTGAGAAATAGCTATAATAAAATAAAACATTAAAGCATGTAGCTAATTTTTAAAATTAACAAATTGCACATAAAGCATATTTTGTTGGAATTTTTATTCCCATAGTAGTGATTAAGAAGAGTTTTATCTTCTGGAACATAATGCCACATAGTCTGGTGAATGTCAACCATCATTTCAAAGGACCATACTGGCCCCATCTTCATGGTTGAGGAGTAAGCCAATCTTTGCTTGCTGCCTGCTTCATGATGGTTTCTTGGTTGATAAGATCTAACAGTGTGTGCTGAAGGTATATTGATATAATTATTGTGTTTCTGGACATTATCAATTGTCCTGTTTTTGGTTTAAAACACATGCTTCAGAATGAATTCTGGCTCCATTTCCAGGTGAAACCTACTGAGTTGGGCTTGTATAATTCCCAAACCTGAATTAACAATTAATGCAGCTGCTATATGCTGTGATATGAAGGAAAGAAACCATATTCCAGGTGAAGAACAGGTATTTTATTAGCTTCTCAGTAAAATATAAACTGAACTATTTTATCTGAGTCCAGCTAAGTAACAGGTTGGAAGTGAAGCTTCAGTTGAAGACTAAGTTTCTGATATTGTGCTAACTGATTAGGCCTACTGCACACCACTGTATGGAGCAATGGTGAATGAATGACTGATGGATGAAAAGTTAAAATAGTCATACAATCCCTGCTCATTGTCACTCTGCCTATCACAAACCGAATATGGAGAATTCTGAGATTGAACCTGGCCTCATAACTGAGAAGCTAGAGTCTTAGTGATGGACCTATGGCAAGAACCCTATTGCTTATTATATAATTTTATTTATTATTTATTGAACAATTCTGTCTATATCCCGTATTACATAGAATTGAATGGCAGGGTGGTTAGAAAATAATGAATTGGAAAGAAGCAGTCATGACTTAATTTGAGGTAAAAATCCAGCCTTTGCCAGGAAAGAGGAAAGTATATAAAAAAAAACTCTGTTAGCACAGCTGGTGTCCTAGCTGAGACTCATAATGGCACCTCTTGAATACAATTCAGAAACCTTACCACCTCAGCCACTTCCTTCGTCCCTCCTCAGGGCAGGCTCAAATTTATTTTGTACAGGTATGAAACATTCCTCTTATTTTGAGCAAAGAACATAAATCAAAAGTTTGAAAAAAAGGTGCTTAGGAAAACATTTGTACCTATACTGTGGCCACAGACAGAAGTGTCCCACAGAACACTAATCCTTCCAGCAGCACTATGGCCATGGGATCGACTCAGCCTTTAACAGAAATGAGTACCAGGAATCTTCCTGGGGGGTAAAGGGTGGCCAAAGCATAAGGCTGACAACCTTACTGCCATCTGTGAGCCGACTGTCTAGACAAAATGTGGGAGCCTCGACATCTCACAACCCTATGGGCCTTCACGGCCTGTTACAGGGATAGCTTTACTTTTTTTAATAACGTTCACTAGTGACATGCATTTTGGGTCAGTTCATATAGGCCAGAGAGGTCTGGAGAGGAACACAACAGTAGTCACCGATTAGGAAGCCTCAAGCACTGTCATCATCATCATAAATGGGACAAATTTCTGTGGCCTCAGTATAACATGGATGAAGATGTGTAGTTTATTGAATTGAATTGAATTTATCTGCATTCCATAAACCCTAAGCAGGTTAATACCTTTGGATATAGAACAAGTGAAAAGAATACCTACTGGTACAAGTAATTTTATCTTAAACTAATATAGCTTAATTCTACATTAGTCTCTATTTACATTTAGGTATACGTCTACAGAGTAGAAGGAACGAGCATGCAGATAATTCTTTAGCTCTGATGTAAAATGTTTAATATCATTACTCAAGTTTATGATACTTTGTGGGAGACTATTGTACACTTTTATGCCAAAAAAGTAGACTCCTTTTTGAAATAGTGATAAGTTTGATGAAGGTAGATGGAAGCGATATTTTTGTCTAGTATTCATGTTATATATACTGGAATTTAATTCAAATTTATTTTTGTTGTACACAACAAATAAAAGAAGCAATAGTATGAGGGGATACCCAAAAGAAACCGAACTTATTTTTTTTAAACTTATTTATTCAAATTTTAAGCACAAACCTTCATTCCCCTTCAAAGTACTCTCCACTTACACTGATACACTTGTCTAGTCTTTTATTCCATTTTTCAAAACATTGTCTAAATTCATCTTTTGAGATGCTTGACAGCGCCTCCGTCGTTTTTTCCTTCACCTCAGCAACATCAGCAAAACGCTTTCCTTTCATGTCTCTTTTCATTCGAGGAAACAAAAAAAAAGTCGCACGGGGCAAGGTCGGGTGAGTATGGAGGGTGAGGAACAGGGGTCATACCATTTTTGGTCAAGAATTGTCGTACAGACAGGGCTGTGTGAGCAGGGGCATTGTCATGATGGAAAAACCAGTCACCCGACTGCCACAAATCTGGCCGCTGAGCTCCAAGTCACTCCCGACAGCTCCACAATTTCTTCAATGGTCCGTCGTCGATCTTCCTTGATGATTTCACGAATTTTTTCAACATTTTCATGTGTTCGGGCCGTGGAAGGACGACCAGAACGAGGTTTGTCATCAATTGACATTTCACCATTTTTGAAACGGGAAAACCACTCAAACACTTGAGTTTTCCCCATAGCATCGTCCTTGTACGCCGTTTTTAACATTTCAAGAGTTTCTGTTCCACTTTTCCCGAGCAAAAAGCAGAATTTCACCGCCGCACGCTGTTCACGAAAATCAGCCATTGCAAAAACGACGATCACACAAAACAGTTGTCACTATAAACTCTGCCGAAACTAGTCCTTACCTTCTGAAGCAACGGTAGTCGGCTTATCGACTCAGGAATGTTACCTCTATGTGCTCATAGCGGCAAAACGCAGTACTACAATAGCTCTGCCCACAAAAAAATTAGTTCGGTTTCTTTTGGGTACCCCATCGTATGTATTGTGATTGAAGAGGTAGAATTTTTAATTTCTTAAATAAATCTCTACATGAATCTCTACTTCTGCGTCCTGTAATGATTCTAATTATATTCTTTTGTATCTTAAAAATTTTTACACTATGTGAAGAGTTCCCCCAGAATATTAATCCATAGTTCATAATAGAATGTAGGTCATCTGGTACTGTTGTAATAATAAAATCCAGTAGGCTATAAAAGCATGAATTTTTGTTGGGAAATTTCTTGAAAGATTAAGCAGACTGAAGGATAACAACAGGGATTTTAGGGAAATGAGTTGTGACATTAGGGGTAACTAGCTCAGGATCATGACTGATTGCAAGAATAGTTGTGTTGAACCTTCACGTTCAAGAAATTTGTTACAGAAATGCAACCTATCCTTGAGTAAAATGGTATTCTTTACTTTATATATATATTGCTTACATACCAATTAATTGCTGCTTGCATACAAAACAACGAAATTCATTTCCTGGATCTATGTTTTGCCATTTCCTGAGAACAATGCAACTGTTCGAACTGCTGGGGGGTTGCTGCTGCTATAGAGAAAGAAAAATAAAATAAATTTAATTTATTTGGAACAATACAGATCTGAATACCTCTCACTGAAGACTAACTGACAGTAAACGTTTAACAAAATACTTACCATGCTGCATGTCAAATCCTTCACAAGTAAATCAGAACTCTTTAAAAGAAGATAAATATCCTCAAGTGATGTACATTTCAAAGATTTTGTAGATGTTATCCATGCTGCATCCTGTCAAAAAAATACAGCATGACATGAGACATCATACCCAACATGCAGACATAATGTATCATGACTACAATATTGTCAGTAGCCAAGTTACTTAATTCAATTCAATTCGTGTTTATTTACGTGTATGTGCAAACTTAACAGCACAGTGGCCAATTACAAAGTTAGCACAAGTACAAAGAAATACACAAAAAATTAGAGAGCAAAATACAAAATATGACAGTCTATACAATAGCAATAAATTAGTAACAATTCCAAGAAAAAAATTAAGTTAGCTTTAACAGGCAAGAAAAATAAAATAAGTACATTTCGAATGGTTATTCCATTATGTGGTGAGAAAGGACAATACACATACATACACACACAGAAGTTAATAATAATAATAACCCAATTCATTCTTATTTATTTGTGTGGCAGCTCAACATCCTAATTCAATTCAATTCAAATCACGTTTATTTTCATACAACTTAACACTTTGCGGACCGGTGGCATATTTTTATGCCCAGCGCTTTTAAACGTGGCGGTGGCATATTATTATGGCTTTGGGACACGTTATGTTGAAACACACTATACTTTGCTCTGGTGCCAGGCAGACGCAAGACTGGTGCGTGACAGACCTCCTGAATGTTTGCTTCGTAGTCAGTAACATGACCCCGCTGTTTATGACCCAACTGTTTTCCTTTCTCACTCCAAAAGAAAATGCCTTTGTTCATCTTCCAGCTGCATGCACCAGGCAGGAAGTTACTAGTGCAAAATGGATCAAGGTCGGAAGAGGTTGAGGTCCGAGCGTTTTCCCAGAGAACAAGAAATATCTGACTTGTTCTCCGATGAGCTATATGACGTCCTTTGTGAGTCTTGTAGTATTAGCGACTCACAATCGGATAGTGAGTGTGGCAGGGGCGAACAAAAAATTGTGGCCACAGACAGTGAAAGTGAAAGTGACAGTAGCTCCGACGAAAGTGCGGGTAAAAACACTGCAGGGACAGCCACATGGGGAAAAGTACACAAAACGCCTGCTTTGGAACAGTTTACTGGAAATCCAGGGGTGAAGCAAATTCCATCGGACCCAACGCAAGTGTCTGAAGTAGCGGAACTGTTTTTCCACAATTCACAATTCGAGCATGATTGATGTTCAAAGGAGACATGGACAGGTAAAGAAGCCTGTATGTATTTCCGAGTATAATTTGTTCATGAAGGGAGTTGATAGAGCCTATCAGTACTTGGCCTATTATTCTCTTCCTCAGAAAACAGTAAAGTGGACAAAGAAAGTTGCCTTGTGGCTTATAAATTGTGCCATTTTCAATTCATTTTTGGTTTTCAAAAATCTAAACCTTCATTCAAAACTGAAATACAAGGCATTTCTGCTGAATGTGGCAAAAGCCCGGGCTACAGACCACACGGTGGCGGCAGACACAGTCTTAGTACGACTGGGGCCGTCTACTCCCACCCCATGCAGGCCTCATTTTGACCCCCCTGGGCGACTCTCAGGTGATATGCGGAAACATACCCTCGTGAAAATTGTGAAGAGTGAACATGCCAAGGGGAAGCAGCCTTCTAGGCGATGCCATGATTGCACAGTACACAACAAAAGGAGTATGACTGTCTATACATGCAAGTTCTGTGTAATGCCACTTCACAAAGGAGAATGTTTCCAGAAATATCACACTCTCAAGCACTTCTAGGAGCATTGGTAAGTGTTCTCCAAAAATTTTAGTTCATAAAATTAATTAGGAGATTTTATATTAATTTAAAAATGAACAGTGTACAAGTTAGGGTAGTAGGTTTAAAAATGCCGGTCCCCAGGGTGATTTAAATATTTAAATTGCCGGTCCGCAAAGTGTTAACAGCACAGAGGCCAAATAAACGGTTAGCATGAGTACATAGAATTACATAAAAATAATTAATAAACAAATACAAAATTTGAGAGTCTACATAATGACAATAGATTAATAATAATGCCAAGAAAAATTAAAGTTAACATTAACAGGAGAGAACAACAAAATAAGACCACATACACAAAAGTAATATTAAGAGTATCATTAACAAATATTATTAACAATTTTAGGTTCAGTGTCACTGGCAGAAACTGTTCCGATTGCAAATATGTCGAGATCTTTACACACCACATTGGCAGCATTGGGGCAGTGAGCAGAAGGACAGTGTTTATTACAGGGACAAACACCAATCAATGAGAAGTCCCTAAGACTGCTGGGAGGAACACACGAAAGCTAACATTTTCCAAAAGAGAAGAGCAGGATTTAAGACCACGAAAGACCTGAGCAAGAAAAAGTGCATCAAGGTGATGTCTCCATTTATGTAAAGACTATAGACTTAATTCTCTAAAGCATCAGTATAATTATATGAAATATGAGGAAAAAACGATAAAAAGAGATGGACACAAACTTCTGCTGGATGCGCTCAAGCTTATTGGCATCAGTCAAGGTGATGGAGTTCCAAACTACTGAGGCATATTCCAACTTGGACCTGACTAAAGTAAAATATAGTACATACAGACTCTCCAGGGAGGAAAACCTGTAGGTAATGGAGCGAATAAGGCCTAAAATCTTTATGCATTCAGAAAATATGTAATTAACATGTGTGTGTGAAAATGTAACTTTGAATCAAAGAAAACACCCAGGTCCTTAATACTGCTGGTGCGTGTAAAGATAGCATGACAAAGCTGATACTCGTAGCTCAGAAAATTTGTTTTTCTGGTGTATGATACAACATGTGTTTCAGCAATATTAAGTTTCATGGAGGTAGCAGTGCACCAGTCACTTACGGAATTAATGTCAGATTGAAGTAAGAGGCAATCATGTGGAGAGTTAATAATGCTGAAAAATTTTAGATCATTGGCAAAAATTAGAAATTTACAGTAGTTAATGAAGTCGCAGAGGTCATTTATAAATATGTAGGTAAGTCAATAATTATCCGCAATGTTGCTATAAATTTTATTTCAATACAAATAGAAAACTTACATTAACACAATTTTTCAACATAGTCCTCTTGTTTTGCAACGCACTTGGTCCATCGTTGCACAAGCTTCCTGGTGCCCTCAGAAAAGAAGGTTTTTGGCTGAGCAGCGAGCCACGCATGCACCGCTTCCTTCACTTCTTGGTCCGAAGTGAATCGACGGCCCCTTAATGCCTCCTTGAGTGGACCAAACAAGTGGTAGTCAGAAGGGGTAAGATCAGGACTATACGGAGGATGAGCCATTACATCAAACTTGAGTTTCCGGAGGGTTTCAGCAGTATGGGCAGCAGTATGTGGACAGGCATTGTCCTGCAACAACACAACACCTTTCGACAGTAGTCCTCGGCGTTTGCTTCAAATTGCAGGCTTTAGCCTGTCAGTAAGCATCTCACTGTAATGAGCACTGTTTATTGTTGTGCCCCTCTCCTGATAAGGTTCCAGTACTGGGCCTTGTGAGTCCCAAAAAACTGTAAACATCAGTTTTCCTGCGGATGGTTGGCTTTTGAACTTTTTCTTGCTGAGCGATTGTGGATGTTTCCATTCCATACTCTGCCGTTTACTCTCCGGCTTGCGATTTTCGTCACCAGTGATGATTCTGTCTAATCATTACCATAGCAATCCAAATGTTCTTGGCAGATGTCCAAGCGCGTTTGTTTATGCAACACTGTGAGTTGTTTTGGGATCCATCTTGCACAGACTTTATGAAACCCAAGTCTGTTGTGGATGATTTCGTACGGAGAACCATGACTAATTTGCAGACAATTTGCCACTTCATCAATAGTCACTTGTCTGTCTAACAGAACCAAGTCACATGCACGCTCAATGTTGTCCTCATTTGTGGCCATGGATGGTCGTCCGGCTCCTTCCTCATGTGTAACACTTGTGCAACCATTTTAGAATTTTTCAATCCATTCGTAGACACTCCGTTGCAGCAAAACACTGTTCCTGCATTGTGCTGAAAGTCTTTGATGGATTGCGGCCCCTCATACACCTTCTGACCACAAAAACCTGATCACTGAACGTTGCTCTTCTTTGGTGCAAACAGGAAGTGGAGCAGCCATGATTAACGGCCATGCAGCGACGATGGAACTGACCTAGCAATATCAAACCTGCGCAGAAATAATGACAAGGAAACCATGCATGGCAATGCTTTGCAAAACGACAGTGTTGCCAACAGAAACACAAATAAAACTGCATTGCAGATAATTATTGACTTCCCCTCGTACATTGAAAAGAAAAGGCCCCAGAACAGAGCCTTGTCACACACAGGATGTTACATGAAAAGGCAGGGAGAGAGTGCCAGAAACGTGAACCCAAGATCATCTGTTGGCTAAGTAACTGCAAAACCAGCTAACATAAGAATCAGAGAATCCGAAGGAGCTAAATTAATGCAAGAGCATATTATGAGGGACGAGATCAAAAGCATTAGAAAGATCAAAATAAACGGCACCAGCTTGACACTGACTGCAGACAACAGGCGTCAAGAAGTCAAGAAACATCACCAAATTGGTAACTGTAGATTTAGTTCTGGTAAAGCCATGTTGGTTGGTTTCAAATTTAGCAAAATGAGAAATATGATCATGAATAATGAATTCAAACAATTTAGAGAAATTACTGAGAATAGAAATAGGCCTGTAGTTGCTCACAGTGGCATGATTGCCTCTTTTAAATACTGGTACAACAGCAAATCCTTTCAATGCAGCAGGAAAATACTGCTGCATCAGACTCAAGTTAAATATATGCCTAAGTATAGGAATAAAAATACCTGCACACCCTGTGATGATAAAACCAGGAATACTGTCAAGCCCAACAGATTTTGATGGTTTTAGTCTCTTTATGGCTTTGTAGACATCGGCATCAGAAAAGGGGGAAAGGGATAAAAATTCAGAAGATTGCGAGAGAGGGTGAATGTCCTTAACATAACTGAAATAATGTCAGAGATTAAATACTGAGAATGAAGTGCTGAGGATGATCATTAAAAATTAACAGTTACGAATTAGGAAGTAAGCAGTCATGTCTTATTATGAGTTATTATCTCAGCACCATCCTTAAGAGACTGAATAAAAAAGCTCAGCCAGAATGGTCAGTAGCTGACCATGATTTGAAAAGGGCACCTCAAGAACATCTCCAGAACATTAGTACTACATCAATCTATCCATATATTTAATTTATACTAATTATAAAACATTAAATATAAAACTTCTTATCATACAACTGGAGCAGTCCAATTCAGCTTGATGAAAACTTCACCTCCAAGTTGATTGATACCATCCTTCAGAGCTTTGCTGAATGCAGGAAAACTAGGTTGCTGACACAAAAGAAATGATAAATTAGTAAAATAAGTAAGAACTGGTTCTAAAGGTAGTAAGTAATAAAATTACAGACTTCTGTGCCATGACACTGTACAGTTTGCAGAGAGGTATCCGTATTTGTAGGCACCTGCTGCCTACATCTTCAGGGCTGAAGACTGTCTCTTCTATCCTGAAGATGGGGGACAGCAGGTGCCTACAAAATATTGGTACATATATATATCAAACAACATGGTATAAAATCCCAGAAGACTACAATCTTGATAGTACAATAAGCAACTAAAGAAGAGTGGAAAGCATACTCCAACGCAATACACAAATTTTCCAAATATTTTATTTACCTCTTTATACACATGACTGGATTCAACACTCACTTATTTCTCATACAAATGTACTACTGCAAAGCTAACTGCATTTTAAATAGCACATCACACAGATACTGTGAAAGGAATACAGAATACAGAGTTGCAATCTGTATTAAAACAGAGCAGAGAAATACACTGGAAGATGAGGCACCGGCCAAACAATTAATGTCAAATAATACTACGTCTATACCACGGGCCTCCAACCAGTTTGCTGTATGTATACAAGTTTTGAATATACCATTATGTATTAATTATGAAATTAAACAGGACACATCAGCTGTTGGTCCAAGCCGATGATGTGAATCTACTGGATGATAATATATAGATACCATAAAGAAAAACATACAAACTTTAATTGACGCAAGTAAGGAGGTTGGTCTAGAAGTAAACATAGAGAAAACTTAATGTATATTGATGTCTTGCTACACGAATGAAGGGTGAAATCATGACAGAGATAGCTAACAGACCCTTTCAAACTGTGGCACAGTTCAGATTTTTGGAAAAACGATAACAAATCGAAACCTGATTCAGGAGGAAATTAAGAGGAGACTGAACTCAGGTAATGCTTGCTACCATTCAGTCCAGAACCTCTTGTCTTCTTGTCTGCTATCCAAAAACATAAAAATTATAATATACAAAACTATAATTTTGCCTGTGGTTCGGTATGGGTGTGAAACTTGGTCTCTGACATTAAGGGAGGAACACAGACTGAGGGTGTTTGAGAACAGGGTGTTGGGGAGAATATTTGGACCAAAGAGAGATAAAGTGACAGGAGCTTGGAGAAAACAGCATAATGAGGAGCTTCATAATTTGTACTCTTCTCCAAGTATAACTAGAATGACCACGTCAAGGAGGATGAGGTGGGCCAGGCATGTAGCACGAATGGGGGAGACAAGGAATGCATATAGGATATTGGTGGGAAAACCAGAAGGAAAGAGACCACTGAGAAGACCAAGACGCTGTTGGGTGGAAAATATTAAAATGGATCTGAGAGAGATAGGATGGGATGGTATGGATTGGATTGATCTGGCTCAGGATAGGGACCAGTGGAGGGCTCTTGTGAACACAGTAATGAACCTTTGGGTTCCATAAAATGCTGGGGAATTCTTGAGTAGCTGCAGAATTGGTGGCTCCTCAAGAAGGGCTCAGCTCCATGAGTAAGTAGGTTGGTAACATCATGACATGACAGCACTGCATATTCCCATTAGGGCTGCTACAACCATAATTAATGAGAAATGGTATTCCCTTTCAGAGAATAAAAATTCAAACATGTTATGACAAACACTCCCCATATCCTTTCCAACTAACCAGTTGCAATCCTTCCATTTTTTATATTACATAACTTCTAAAGCTAATAAAACACAATTAAGCAAAATGTAAATCCCTTGTGTACAAAACTTCAACCCTGAGACAATAAGGAACACACAGTTACACACAAACGAAAGTGGAACAAAGTATTTTTTAACCGGGCTTCAGCTAATGTGTACATACATATACTTGCATAGATCCATCTTGTGTGTTTGGATATGTCACATTTTGTCATCTTTACTCATTTAGAAAAATGCGTTTCCAATAACATACTAAGGCAAACCATTACTATTACTTACTGTTGTCAGGATTCTGAGGAGCAAATGTGGGAATCCTGATACTGAAAAATTTGAGATTCTAACCAATTTGGAATTGTTTTGTGAAGAGGATGGTTGAGATGAATTAGACTGTGGGTTCCAGAGTGAGGTTCATTTTGTTTATTGAAAATCTGAGAATATTAAACAATTAAATCCTTAGTACCTGTCAGAAATGAGTACCACGAATTAAATAAATAACTTTCCTGGGGAGTAAAGCGCGGCCAGCGCATAAGGCTGACAACCTTACCACCATCTTTGAGCTGACTGTCTAGATAATGTGGGACCCTCAACGTCTCACAACTCTATGGGCCTTCACGGCCTGTTACAGGGATAGCTTAAAAAAATAAGTACCTGTCAGGTGGTACAAAATCTTATGAGTCAAAGATCTTAAGAATGTCATTTCCAATTTACCTTTATTTCAGAGGAAGTTTCTTCAGTATTTTCCAAATCAAGACAGTCTCCTTCATGATCAGAATACACTGCTGCACTACTGTTATATACTTCTTCTGGAAGGACAAGGGTTGAATCTTCTAACAAATAGCTGACAACATCATTACAAATTGGTATGACAATTGACTGTGCTGTATGATCCTTGAAGAGTGGATACCAGTTTTGAAATGAGCATGCTTTCATATCAGATGTAAGTATTATCTGCAACAAGATATAACACTTCCATCTATAAAGCTGAATATATTATGAACCTGACAAAAGGATAATTCTTCATAAACTGAAGGGATGATAGAAAAAAAATTAGGTGGCTCCAGTTTTTACTGAAACTGAGATAAAGGTACTACTTAATAGAAACAAATTTGAGACAAACGTTGGTGGAAAAGCATTGCAGCTCCAACCATTTTCCATGCAGTTATAAAGCCAAAGCGGTTACGTGATACTCCTGTTTCCTAAAAGAAAAGGTAGCTCCTGGATTAAACTGGTTTATACATCAGATGTAGTGCCTGATCCCATTAATGTGTGGTTCCCACTGTTTCTTGCAATGAGAATGTTCTGTACTTCTCTATTTGAATTGATTATTAATTTGTATCTGCACTAGTTTGGGAGAAGTGTTTGTTGGTGGAGTGCCATATGATTGTGAACAAATTTAGAGGTCAAATTAAGAAAATGCTCCAGATTTAAATGAAAATCATTCAGTTTTGTTGTAAAACAGGGTATGAGAAAAGTGTCATCTGCTACCATTTGCGAAAATAGAGTTAGAAAATATAAAAGGGCAACAGGACAAGAATATCTAACATACACATAACAGTTCCTGCTTGAAAAGCTGAACTCCACGCTGTGATTCTAAAATAGCTACTTATCTCAAAGAAAAACTGCTTAAAATGTTTAATGACTTGGCTAATAAAAAAAGACAAGATATCGACAGTGGATGACTACTGACAGATAAATGCTAGTAACAACAGTGTAAATATTTCTCAAGTCCCCTCTGAGTACTGTACTCCTGATGACCACAGCTAAGAAACAATTATACAGAGTGTTTCATGACTTTAGGTCATAACTGCGGGGGGGGGGGGTATTTCCTAGGTCTTTGTGATCAAAAAAGTTCATATAAACATGTGTTAGATTTTGGATGGTTACAGAGCTATGACCGTTTTTTCATTCCCATACACGCCCTCATGTGAACCGCGTCTGCCAGCTGGCGGGTTGCTATTTTTAGCCAGCTACAGACAGAGCGCTCTCGTTACCTCGACACTTGAGATGTACCTAAGGCGGGGAGGGTTGGTATGTCCAGCGTCGTTCACAACCAAGCGGCAGCTTGTGTTGCGGCCAGCGGTGGCATTTTCAAAAATCAGCTTTAAGCACCAATATATTCAAATTAAAGGTAATTTCACGAAGTTAACTTTACATTCATACTTTAAATGTATCATGTATTATGCTGGTTTATTATTTTGTTCCGTTTATTGTCAGTAATCGTTACCTTCTATTCAGAGTTTAAAACGGTCATAACTCTGTAACTGTCCAAAATCGGACACATGTTTATATGAACTTTTTTTGATCACAAAGACCTAGAAAATCACCTCCTGCAGTTATGCCCTAAAATCGTGAAACACCCTGTATTTGAAGACATGTTCAAGAAAGCTCAAACACTTGCACGTACTCAAAAAAAAAAGTGTAATTTCCTCCTCAAAAACCAAGTTCAGACAAAACTATCTCCAGATGCAAGTGTGTAGAACATCACAAATAGAGTAATTTTGCAAGACGAAAAATATCAAGCAGAAGACATTAGAGGATGAGTAACTTAAAAATATGACTGAAAGTGGTGTCTTGCATGTGTGTTGTAAGTGAATGGCACTGAAATCAAACTAAAATGTTTGCATCCTTCTGGCCTCAGGGTATCTTTCATGTATCCTTCACTAACAAACATTTTGTGGGTTCTTCCTTCCAAGGAGTTTATAAAAATGGATCCAGAAACTGTAATGGGTCACACACATGTTATCAATGAAAAGAAATCCTGTTGAACCAATGAGGAACTATAAAGCAGACTTCACAGACTGTAAATAGCTGCTCTTGTAAGTATATTTTCTTCTAATTTTAATGAGGACGTCTGCCAAGTTTCTTTTTTGCGTTTCTTATTAATGCTGTATTACCTATGTAGCTTACTGTAATCTTTAATCCCATTAACGAACAACATGAGCGTAACCTGTAGTTATGAACAGGTACAGATCTCATCAACCCATTCATGTCCCAACATGATACACTACAAAAATGTACTTATGACTCATAAAACATTTTTGGAAAAATTTGCACAAGACTGATTATATGCTTTTTTTTATAACTGAAAATTGAAAAATGAAAATTCCACGAGAGAGCTTTCAATTTGTACAAGAATTAGCTCACTATCTCAATTAGGAACAGAGTTACAAGCAATCTGGTGAATAAGCTGGAGGAAGAAGTTCTGGCAAACTTCGTAGTTCAGAATGTAGTACCCTTGAAACAATACAGAAAAGAAAAACATCACATTTATCACGCACTCATCAGACCCTGTAGGCTTACAAAATGTAGTTGATATCAACGATGGCCATGCCAATAGCTGTGCCAATTTACCTCCAGGTAAAAATGCAGTGGTTGTAGCTCACGGTCCGGCTACTAATTTCTCGTTTATAATTATTCTATGGGCGTTATGTGGGGGCACGCAGTAGCGTAGTTGGTTGAGGCACAATGCTACAAGCTGGAAGGTCGCGGGTTCAAGTCCCAGTGAGGTCATTGGAATTTTTTAAATTGACCTAATCCTTCCAGCCGCACTATGGCCCTGGGGTCAACTCAGCCTCTAACAGAAATGAGTACTAGGAATATTCTTGGGGGTGAAGGCCGCCCAGCACGTAGGTCTCACAACCTTGCCGCCATCTATGAGCCGATTGTCTAGAAAATGTGGGTACCTCAACATCTCACAACCCTATGGGCCTCCACGGCCTGTTACAGGGATAGCTTTACTTTACTTATCATTGCCACATAACCAACATACTTAACAGCGTGTAGTAAAGAAATGCGTTCACTACTCTACCATTGACACTAAAAATATCCTGTAAATCAACATGAAATATGCCACAGAAATCGAATTCGGTTTGAACATAGTTTTTAATAGTCCCACTTTTTTTAACAAGGTATAATATCGCGAATCGAAAGTTAGAATGTCAAACAGTCCGCACTCACCATTTTCAGTTTTCTCAATTTGTACTCAAGGTGAAATATCACTTCCCTGCGGCACGCAAATTATGCTTCATGTCATACTTGCATATCTAATATTCAGCCTTGTGGGATATCCTACAAATTTAAACTTAACATCTTTCTCCAACCGTTACTGAACCGACTGAAACCACGGATACCAAAGGTATACTACGTATACTACTATTCCAAATGAGCTTATACCGTACAATCGTCAGGATAACAAGTACATACAACATTGAACAGAGAGAATTCCCTAATTTTAATTGCTGTCACTAACGAATAAGAGAAGTCTGGAGAGTCTAGGCGGTCTAGGCGGTCTTAGCTGAGGGCTCGACGGCCGTGGAGTCTAGGCGGTCTTAGCTGAGGGCTCGACGACCGTGGAGTCTAGGCGGTCTAGGCGGTCTTAGCTGAGGGCTCGACGACCGTGGAATCGGGTTCGATTCCCAGGTAAGAGATATTTCTTTCCGTGACGTCCAGAAAGACTCTGGGGCCCACCCAGCCTCCTATAGCTCCTATACGTCCTATACCTTGGGTAGCCGGAACCGCCTGGTCTTTATCCCCAAGGATACATTGGCCTTGGCGTGAAGCTGATCACTAGCTCCCATCTAGTGCCAAGGTTAAGAATTGTGAAGCTATACCTCCACTCACCTATACATTTTCACGGCGTGGTGTTTAATTAAAACCCAGGAATAACTTTACGTTACTAATGTAACAGGGATCAGTGAAGCAGGTTGACAGGGCATCTATTTTAGTGATCCGTGGGTTGGTGGCCGTGGCAGTCCATTGTAGGTTCCGTGATGGCAGTAGACATCGGCAGAGTTTGTAGAGATTAAAAATATGAAAAGATGTAGTAGATTAGGAACTATTAGGAGCATTAGGAGCAGGGGGGTGTAAATCCCATAGGGGAGAGGGAATCACGCAGACCAGCCATCTATGTTCAGCTACATGAACTAGATAGTCTGGAAATGACTGGAATCGGTCATAATACACCTATCGCAAATAATCGAATCGCATTAGTGTCAGCCAATCAGAGGATCTTAAATTTCGGTTGAATGCTTTGGGCGGTAGTTGCAGTAATACTGCGTAGTTTTTGAAAATGTGTGTACGTCGTTGAGGTATGTTGTGCAACTAATTAGATTAATTAGTAAGTAGGGACGTTGATTTGATGTTGTGAAACGAGAGTCGACATTTACGCATGAATTTACACCTGTGTGTTACTTATGTATATGGATTATGCGTACTACGCTCAGTGAAATTAAGAAACAAACATGAAGTCAGTGTTACCACGATACTTCATACAAATCGTATTTCTGTATTTTAAGCATCTTTCGGTGTAGCCTAAAGAAGGACCGTCGAATCTCAAGAAAGTGAGAGTGTACTTTGATTCTGTTATAATTTTTGTATTGTTTCTTGCAGTATAGATGGGAGAAAAAAAAAATTGTTCTGCTGAAGCATGCACGTCTTCCAGTGAAGAAACTGGATTGAGATTCTTCAATTTTCCCAGAGATTCAGCATGGTATGAGCCAGATCTGAAATATTATTATAAAACATACTGTAATATTTTGGCGAGTGTTATTAAAGGAGCTAAAAATCTTCATTATAATCAATTAATTTCTAATTCTAGTAACAAAATGAAAGCCACCTGGAGCATTATAAAATCAGACACAGGCAGAAAAATTAGTAATGCAGGTCAGTTTTTAAACATCGATGGGAAGTTAACTGATAATCATGATGTGATTACAGATTCTTTTAATAATTAATTTTGAACAATAGCTGGACAACATCAATACCAATAATGTTCATCAGCATTTTGTGTTTCGAAGAAAACTTTTGGCACTGACAATATCTGTCTGTCTCTCTCTGTCTAAAGTAGAATTTTATGGAATAGTTGGTAAGGCCAATGCATTGATAAAATCCTATGTGAAGGACAGCTACCAAAGGGTAAGTCTATTTTACTCATTGGAGGAATAATTTAACTTCAATATTAATTAATGATCTTGGTCCGTTATATGGTGGATGCCTAGTAGTATACTTTTATGTTTCATTATTGTAGTCTTGTGTCATTAGTGTGCTGCATTCTTTCACATATAAATTTTAAAACTTTGTTAATGATTTACTCACTGTGATTTGTCTTTGATAACATGTGTAATTGTTATGGGTTAAATATAATTAATTTTTATTTATATAATTGATGGGACTTGTCCTGTTGTCTTAGACTATTACTATATCCACTGTTCTTCCAGCCGTGTAAGGATTAATGGAAAGTAAATAAATGAATGAATGTCTGTTTTAGTACATGATGTAATGTAGTACCTACACCATGTTTGTAGTGTTTACTGATGAATTCTTTCAAGCTTTTGAGAGAATATGTAATACTCTTACAGGGCTATGGTATGGGCAGGAAGAGTTGGATTATCATGTACTACTAATTCTGCTAGAATGCTGCACAATAAAGTTCTGTGCAGCAGACATTTCTCTGAAAGTGATTTCACAACAGCTTAACAGATGTGCAGTTCCATATGGCACAGATTCTGCTGTACAGTCACTCCCACAACCTCCTGATCATTCATTACACACCTCTTCCTTTGATCCCTTGCCTTCAGGTTTAACTCCTGAACGTGAGCTTAATGTTCTGCCGCCCACCAGAACCTACAGCAGGACACTTGTGCCCTCTGCTGTAGCACCTGTTCCTCTCCATGCAGACAGTCCTTCCACTTCCTTTCAAATGTCTGCAATCCAATCATCACCAGCAGCAGGCAACACTTCTTCAGTGAACGGAGCCTCCTATCTCTTAGGCTCTGAAAAAATATATGCTTCTAATGGGGCACTCGGGCATATCAGTTGTCAAAGTTCCTCCTCAAAGCCCAGAGCAAGGCATTCTCTGCTGAAAGAACTTAATTTGGCTTCGCTTTCTGAATTGACACTGAGGAAAAGGAAATTATATGCACAAATTCGGAATAAGGAGGGTGCACTCTGCAAACTGAAAAAGAAATTCAAAGGAAAGAAGTTGAAAAATCTCTGTGATGTGGCCAGTGATCCACTCATGGAGAGACTTTCATCTTCTCTCAGTGTAGAGGCTGCCAGATTATTCTTCTTCTATGGCACAACAACCCAATACCGGGCCTTGGCCTCCCTTATCAAGCCCCTCCATTCCTCTCTATCCTGCGCTGCTCTCTTTCAGTTCCTTCTTCCACAGCATCAATCCATCTAGTTCTTGGTTTCCCAGCACGTCTCCTACCACCTATTGTACTGTATAATATTTTATTTTGGATACGCTCCTTAGCCATTCTCTGTACATGCCCAGCTCATTGCAATCTTTTAAGCTTTATTGTCACTGAGATCTCTGGCTCCTTATATAATTTGTATAACTCTTTATTATATCTTATTCTCCATATCCCATTCTCTTTTATTGGTCCATAAATTCGTCTTAGGATTTTCCTCTCGAAAGAATTGATGACTGATTCATCTTTCTTGTTTAGCGTCCAACACTCATATCCACAATAAAGCACCGGTCTTATCATTGTTTTATATATTTTTGTTTTAATCGCTCGGTGTATATCCTTTGAT